TGGTTATCACATTATTTGCATATTTAAGTCGTTTTAATATAACGTACTCAACCCTATACGTGTAAATACAATAAAATAATACAGAATTAATCTCAAAGATGAACTGTTTGTTGTGGTAGATGGCAACCGAACCAGAGATTGTTAAACCTCCTCTCTTTTTGTCCATTTGAGAATTGAAAAAAATGCTAATTACTTTAATTTTATTTGGAAGAATGTTTCAAGTCACACTTAAAAAGTTATAAGCGTTGGTGTCACATTCATACTAGTCCAGTTGAGCAGTCAGGTCAGATAGTTTATATCCAGGTCTTCGGTAAGAAGTAATGTTCTGTTTTTCGAATGGATGGTTGTTAGGTATGCAATATCAAACACTGTTTGAAGGCTTATTTCAATAACAAGAAAGCTTTTAATTCATGTTTATCGTTTATAAATGGTTTTTGAGCTCTTAATTGGTAGAACTTGGAAATTGGATTCTGCTATTTTAGGCTGTATTGCTTTCCTGTGTTCTTTGATGCTATTGAACTGCATTTGATAGGTATGCAGTCGAATATGATTGCCGTGATTTCAATTTCTTTAGTCATATTTCCCATGAAAATAGCTGTTGATTTCCAGGTGTGCCTGGAATATTGTGCATCGTTATTTATATTAGAAGCCAATTTTGATTTTCTAAAAACAAATTTACAATTTTAACTAAAAAAATGAAAACACCAAATGTCCTAACTTTTATAACCACGTTCCACGCAAAACCTGTTTTCCGAATTGTTTTATAGTTGACAGGAGTTTTGTTTAGCTTCTTTCAAGCAAAGTGTTAACAAAATGTTAATCAAATCAATCAATAATTCGTGTTAACTGTTATTTGTATTCATGCGAAAATAAGGAAGTGTGGTTAACTAAGAGTGTGCGCAGCTTGGTTGATGGCGTAGTCACAAAAGAACTTGTTATAAACCAGTCCCAACACTTGTTTGTCTGAGAGAGCTCAGTAACATAATTAACACACTACGTCAGATGTCAAATATTTACAGCTATTACATTTTTATAATAACTCTTGTAACACACACATATATATAAGCTCAGATATCTATTTACTTATATTATGAAAATTCTGCTTTCAATATCAGAATTTCGGTTAAATGAATGTCTACTATCCCTTTTCTACTACATTGTACACGGGTTATTGTATGCTATCGTTTAGGAAGAGCAATGTGAAAATAAAATAATATATTAAGGTTTGTGTGCATATAGAAAACGCTTTGTATTGTAATTTTACTTCACTGCGATGCCAATCTTAGACCATATATCTTGACAAACGTTTCACAGGATCCCAACTTCCAAACTTGTCTTTATGTAAACTAAAGACATAAAATCCATTGGACTGCATCAAAGGACTTGATAGGTATGTGATCAATTGGGATTTCAGTGATTTCGGTTTCAACGGTAATCTTTCTCGTGAAAACAGCCGTTTATTTCGAGATATTACTGCATAATTGTTTGTAATTAAGCACAAGGCTATACAATGGGCTATCTGTGCTCTGCCCACCACGGGTATCGAAACCCGGATTTTGGCGTTGTAACTCCGCAGACATAGATATTACTTCAAAATTGTGAGCTGTGTTTATTAGCTTGTTAATAGCTTCATTGCAATGGCATTTTTGGGTCGGAAGGTTTTATTTCATGATCATGGTTTTCACTTTACAAATTAAGGCTTGTTAAACAATTTTCGTTAAACACGTGTTCTTCCTCGGAAAGGACTGTGGCTTTCGATTGGAGAGAGAGAGATGTGGATTTCCATGAGAGTATAAATGGTCTAAAAATCAGTACGAACCAAATATATACAGGTGCTGAAACATTTTTTTGTTTGTTTGTAATTAAGCACAAAGCTACACGATGGGCTATCTATGCTCTGCCCACCACGGGTATCGAAACCCGCATTCTAGCGTTGTAAGTCCGCAGACATATCGCTGTGCCACTGGGGGCTGCTGAAACAAGCCACTCTGACGTTACGGGAACACGCTAGTGAATTAGCATTTACAAATCGTTTTTATGAACTCTGATTAACCCACTGCAAAATTTTTATTCGCGAGCTTATATGATTTATGCTATTTAAAATATCTAGAAATACATGTACTGAACCTTTAAAGATGAAGCATTGAACCTTTTACTGCATCTTAGTAACAACTGTTTAAGTCCAAGAAACTTGTTACTGGATAACTCTTAAATGAACTTTGACAACATTAATATATTAAGAAGAGCCGTTAAGCACAAAGCTACACAATGGGATACACGTGCTTTGCCCACCACCGGTATCGAAACCCAGTTTCTAGCGTTGTAAGTCTGCATTGGGTGGCGAAGAGCCTCTTAATACCAGTTTTTGTAGTAGGGTCAGAAGCAAAGGTCTCAATTTTAGTAATTTTTCCTGTGAAATTAATATATTTTTTGTTATTACTCAACTCTTTTTTTTTATTTATAAGTTTAATTTAACATATAAACATTTTATTATTATATTATACCGCCGTTATGAATACACTAACTTATTAATTTTCAGCAAGATAAGCTTCAATAGTGTATCGATCAAAACCACAATTCTATGGTTAGCGGTTAGAAAATTTAAAAGCTTGAAACAAAACGGTCATACATATACAAACCTAGTTAGTTGTGGTTTTGAAATGATCAAAAGCTTGATTTCAAAGTTGCACAGGACAAAATCACAACGAGAAACTGTCAATTAAAAGTGCAGAGGAAAAGTTAAACGCAACATATTTAAATGTATAAGCTCGACTTGAAAGAGAATGAGAAGAAGGCCGTACAAACTGTATTATTAGCAAATGATACTATACCAAGACTTCGTATGTAGGCACAAGTGTACAACAAAACTCGTACTGTTTGCTAGCGGGTATTAAAACCCGATTTTTAGCATTATAAGCAATCACACATGCCGCTGAGCCAAGGGGTGGGGGTGTACTCGTAGTGATTCTCCCAATGTCAAATAGTGTCTCCACCAACCATTGGTAAATTTGCTTTTAATGTAAAGTTATTGTTCAATTTTAAGTTAATTAGTGACAAATCAACAACGTACTTAATTCACGGTATATTCAGAAATACGCGAGTACTTCTATAATGTACACTTCTTTCATTATATTTATTGAACTATGCTTGATAAGTATTTACAATTCCAGCACTAGTTTGAACGACTGAATGTGTTCAGCCAGACACGACTTACCTAATTTGATGTGTTGTTTCATAAGTAACGTTTTTATTGCTCTTCAACAGATGTCATCGTATGACAAAATTCATAACCAATGTAAAGTATATGTCAAAGTTTCAAAGACTTTTTCTGTAAACACATGGTAAGGTATAGGTTTTTTTTTGGTCTATCTCTGTAACACTTCTAGGCCGGGATGACTTTGTCCACTGAGACTCACAGTTACATATTTCACCAGAGAATGCTTCGGTTAGCTATATACAAAACTTACGTGTTGATTATGTAGCGCTCTCTTCGTGATTAGGTAAAAGTTGATTAGTCATGATTGCGCGAAAAATCAACAGGAATCTAAAGTTATTGAAAATTGAATATTGTTATTGCTGTAAATGTACAATCTTCGAAGGATGAGACATTAAAAACTGATAGAATACAAGTTTAAAATCCAAATTTACCAGATAAAGTAACAAACAAATAAAATAAAGATACTTATGCATTGATAAAATATGCTGACATTAACATATTGTACAAATATAAGCAATTACATATATGCTTAAATAAAAAGTAATACGAGTTTCAGATTATCATTCTACTTCAAGGTAATTGGGTACACGTTCCTTTTATTAGATCGGTAAGTTAAAACATTCAATGGTTATATGCTGATTGCAATTAGGCCAGCATTACAAGTAACATAAACTAATCTACTATATAAAACCCACTGCTAATTCTTAATTCGCGAGCTTATATGATTTAAAATATCTAGAAATACATGTAATAAAGCGTTAAAGATGAAGCACTGAAGTCTTACTGCATCTTAGTAGCAACGCATATATATATATATATCACTAGTTAGCAATAAGAAAATCCACAAACTCTTGCACTTGTTTTGTGGCTCATCCAAATTGTTAACACTAACGCTGTTCATATAACAGCGATAACATTTTCAGGATTTTAACTTTGTATCTCTTCAATCTACCTTTTGTTTTAAGGAAATGCAAGGAAAGATTTATTTGTTCAAAGTTACGTCAGGTGGAAGATTTATCATCAATTGAAGCTCAACCGTAACTCACTTAGTTTTGACGTCCGCCGGTGAGTAAGCGGTTACTTTACGAACTAGCGACATAAAAGTTCGATTCTCCGTGGTAGACAGAGCACACATAGCCTACTATGAAATTTTGCACTAAAACAACAACTTAACTTCTTTGGCGCTTCTTCAAAGCTCTTGACATACTGACGTCACTAGCACAGGTAGAATTACATATTTACTTGAAATAATACACGTGCGTAATACACAATAAACCAGTACGCTAGTTTTCTCAAGATAAAGCTAGACAATGCAGAAAAAATAAATACATTATTAACACAGTGTTATATTTCTGGCGCCTTATGTAAAGTTTCACAGTAATGTGATTATTAAACAGAAAACTTCAAATTTCACTTACTCTACCTGATAAAAATGTTCTCGTACATCTGATTTTTTACGTATATAAAACGCTGTTTCTCTGAAACGTTTATTTCCTAAGATATCATGTACATAATATAAATAAGAGATACACAATGTGAAGTTCCCTATTTTATTCACGTTTGAAAATGAAAATTAAATAGCACTTCACAATGTCACTTAACTACTCCACAGTAATTAATAATCTAACCCAATATCAAATGTATATAGGTGTATAAAAGTGTTAATTTCAATTTTGTATAGTACAAATAAAATTCTTAAACAGTTGAAATAATTACGTGGATAAAAAGTAAGACATAATAATAATAATAAAAACATTAAAATAAATTCAACTTTGTATTAACTGACTACTGAATTTAATAACAAATTCCTTTTCATATTCCAGTTTCATTTGTAAATTATTACATTCTCAAAATGAGAAAAAGTACGTGAAACTTTTGGCTCAAACGTTAGACAACACTTTAAATCGGTATCTGGCATTTCATCCTGAATATTATATTGTGCAATACGGACAGATAAGAGACTTCCAGGTTCGGTTTAATTGGCCTTTATTTTAAACTATCAACCACAACAATGGTTTCTCGCTGCTACAAGGGCTGTTGTCCGGATCTTTAAGGTGGATAATAGGGTTGATTGTTATTTTTACAACACGCACATACTCAGCCTCGTATACAAGGCTTAACATACTGAATAAAACCTTAGAAAAAAAAAAGTCGAATTTAGCGGATTACATACAAATGCTTTTTCTGTTATGCAAGTGAATTTTCAAAACATTTGTAGATTAATTAACAAATTCTTAAATTTCAAGTTAGTACGAGAGTTTTTCCTTAACACACATAAAACGCGAAATTGATAAAATAATTAGACTATTTTTGAATAATTTAACTATAGGGAAGAATGTATAAAGTTGTTGATATTCGTAATTGTAACAAACTTGTGCAGAGGACACTGAGGTCAATCTTAAACTATATGTTGACAAATTTGCCATAGACCCTACACTGTATGGGTACATGGCTTCCAAGACTATATTCAAACCGACCAAAAGCACAAAAGTCCCACTGGAGTTGTGTCAGGGATTTAAAGATATGTGGTCGAATGGGATTGGTGCGATTTCAGCTTTTTCCGGTATCTTTTTAATTAAAACAAACACGGATTTTGCGTCGTGGTTCAAACTTATAAGACTTCATTGACTCTATTGTAGTGTTAGCAGTGTCAAGAGATATACCAAACTGAATTGCAATGGTTTTCTTTGGATCACAAGATTAACCAAAGTCTTCACTTACAGATTAGGGCTTTGCCCCAGATTGGTTTCTGTGTCCGTTGCTGTCCTAAACTCTCTGCCATGCGAGTATATCCACTTTTATGAATTACACTGTGGGCTCACTTTTTCGAAATCCTGCGTTTTTTTAGCTTTATAACGTTTAACAATCACGCTGTGAAAATATCCTGCTTCAGAAAGGGCTATGACAAGTTAGTTATTCCTGTCATAACTATCTATAATGGAGTTGCACTGTCGAATGGTCGAAAATTCGCGTGAACCAAATCCATTGGCGCTAAGCATGCGCCTGAGGTACCATGACTTGTGTCTGCTACGTTATGCCACTGTAATATAGTATGTAAATCGTTCTCATAAAGCGCGTTTACTAAAAATATGACCTATAAACAAATTACTGAGAAAGTACAAAATACATAAATGCGTAAAATTACAGAGCTTGAATATATTTATGGTCATATCAAAGCATAATGCATTTTTATATCAATTGAAATACATTAATATTAAAATATCTAAAGTTAGAAATACGAGAATTTCACAGAAACATTTAACACTTTCTAAACGTTACTTGCTCTACATGCACTTGTAGTTACGAACTAAGTTTATAAAAGAAACAGTAATGCAATATTTTAATTTCATATTCACCATGTATAAATACAGTAGAAGTACGGTGTGGTTGGTGATACCTCTTTTAAAAATGGGGGGGGGGGAAATTGCTGAAATTACTATGCATGTTCATGACGTCACATTTAATATGTTGTGTAAAGTACCTGGTGACGCTACGTTAACGGTGGTAAAACATATTGTTATTGAATTTCTTTTTCCCCCATTCTAGCTGCTTTTAACATACAACTATGTTATAAACCGTACACTTAAATGAAGACCTAGTGAGTAGTATATACCCATTTGCGTTTCTGTTGCTTAAGCTAAGTTTAACTGCACCTGTGTCATAGCTTGTGGAAGACATTGCCTTTACTCATAATACTTAAATAGCAATCAGTTTTCTAGAAAGCACAAGTCCTGCCCTTTTATGGACGACAGTTTAACAATTTCTTCTATGCCTTATGCTACAAAGACTAATTGTTCCTAATTTAAGGTCTCTAACTAACGTCAGGCTTAGTTCGATTGAAAAAAAAACAAAAAAAACATCAACAACAAAGAAAACACAAATTTTGGTATAAAATCTTCCGAGGTAAACATCGGAAGACTAACGAGGCGCCTAAAAAGGTCAGCTTCTCTTTTCCTCCGCCCGTTATGGGGGTAAGGGGCTGTACTGTAAATTTGATGACTTTGGCAATCCTGACGTTTTTTTGACATTCCTGCAACTCTACCCACATACCAAACTACCATTATCGGACTTATTCTCTTTCAGGGCGGCGGGAAATTAAAAAAATCCAATGCCTAGACTTTATTGTGGAGGGGGAGGGGATTATTGACCTCTCAACTGATAGTGTCAAATTATAAATCCTGTATTGATTAAGTTTAAAGATAACTTTAATTTCTATAGGGAAGTCGTTAGTTTTTAACATTTTACTAATACCAATGAATAGTAAAAGTATATAATAACTCAAATCCTTATTAGAGTATATGCAAGTGGGTAACCAAAGTGTCATTTCATCTTTTTCCAATTCGTGGAATAAATGGAATAAAAATAGAAAGAAACAAATAAACAGCTCGTGACATAAAAGAGTAAACATTCGAGGATTATAAATGAGTGAAAAGCTAAATATAAAGTGAAGATAGTAGAAAACGCCAAGGATATCTTAAATGTCGGCAACAGATAAGCGACAAACTAGTAAACAAAAGAAAAAGGAAATATACTAATACAAATATTAGAGAAGAGGCTTCTGCTGACAACAGATTTCTAGAAAATACGTAGCTATGGTAATAGTAGCTAGAAACCAAGCAAATTCTGATATGTGAACATCAGTTAGATATGTACTGAGTTTTGAAGGAAATAGGAATATCTGGCGACATACTGAAGGTAAACCTGGACAGATGTTCTAAGTTTGTTTGTTTGTTTTGAGTTTCGCGCAAAGCTACACGAGGGCTATCTGCACTAGCCGTCCCTGATTTAGCAGTGTAAGACTAGAGGGAAGGTAGCTAGTCATCATCGCCAACTCTTGGGCTACTCTTTTACCAACGTCCATCACATTATAACGTCCCCACGGCTGAAAGGGCTAGCATATTTGGTGTGACGGGGATTCGAACCCACGAGCGCCTTAACCACCTGGCCGGCTATTTCTAATATCATTCGCCCCTATAAGTTTTTCACAACAGCTCATTCGCCCCAGTTCGAAAAAAGAAAAAAAATACTAAATTAAAATAATACAAAATTATTTATTATAACTTAAATATACATCAAACTACAACTAGAATGAATACACCATAAAATAAAATAAATGTATTTATCAAACTACAATTATAATAAATAATAATAACTAATGACTTTTTTGCTCTTGAATTTGTTGATTAATTAATAACACTCATTCACTCTGCCATTACCCCGATTCTTATCTCATTAACCCCCCGAGTGAACCATTCACACAGTTAAGAAGCATTGTCCTAGATGACTCGAATCTTTTCGAAGTAGTTACGTGGGTTTTCTAAGATTGAGTTGTAGACCTGAAGGTCTGAACAGAACACCTTACAAGCGGCAAACATCTGTTTGACTGAAAATGACATGTGACGAGTGTTAACAGCTTGTATAGCTTGCCTTTGTGTCTCAGCAAATTGAAAATTAATGGATTGTGAAGCGCAATGAGCTGCGTTTCGGGATGTGATGAGGAAATAATAATAGAGCTGGAAAACGCTGCGAAAATCGTTTTTACTTACAAACGGGTGAAAGTGTAAAATCTTGTGAAAGAAAAAAAAACATATACTTATCAAGTCACTGGAAAAAGTTTTAAAATAGTTTTTACCTACAAATGGGTGACAAGATGTTGTTACTCTGGAGTAATCACAGATGACAAAAATATTATAATCATGTTTGGTTGTCTCCTAAATCATTGCAATGATTAACTTTTTCTTCAAAAAGTTGAAAAGCCAAGTTATACAGCTGGAAATTCTAAAGTTAGAAAAAGTAAATGAAATACACCTGTAATAGAAGGTGGAGGCAAAATCATGATGAAGTGATAGTTGATGTTTTTGAAAAAATTGGCGAGTATCATAAATTAACAAGTTTTGAAAAGGACTACTATATTTGTATAGTAACGAGTATAAAGAAGAGCTATTAATTGGGTGGTACACTAAGAAACCTTAAAAAGGACAAATTAATTTGGGGAGTGGTAATTTAGGAAAAGGGTTACTGAACTTGTGGAACAATACTAAAGCTTGAAAAAAAAAAGAAGATTAAATTCAGTAATAATTTATTAATCCTCAAAAGGACTGTTTAATGTTCATCAGTGTGTCAGTGGTAAGTTTACAGACTTGCTACCTAAAATCCAAGGTTCGATTCCCATGGTAGATACAGCAAATAGCCCACTGTGGCATTGCTCTCAAACGAACAGACTGTTTAATGTGTGATAATATGATAATTAAAGTATTGAAAACGATTTAGCACAAAACTAAATAGAAGAAAATATACGAAAATTAAACAAATTAACAATTACATATTAACGAAAGAGAAATGACAAAACTATTACAGGTAATATATGACAGAAAATATGTGAGAATTTATAATGTTAGAGAAATTATAAAAAAAATGTGGCTAGATTATTACTGTGAAAATACAGTAATAAAAGCTGAAATAATGTTACAGCAATTGGTGTCATAGAATAATAATTGTTATGAATTGATTAATTCAATTTCAATGTCTCATCCTTACTCCCCTTCTCAGCACCAATGAAGAGATGCTAATGCTGTTTTCATTTATTGATTTCTTGCCAAAAACTAACTCTGGTGATTTCTGATCATATTTACAGCCATATGGAACATTTACCTATAAGAGCCGAGTGTCAGTCTCGACTCTTAGAAGTTAGTATCAGAGCAGGAATTGTCAAATGGCTGAAGATTTGAATCAGTTTTAAATTTGTTGTTTTACAGCATGAATCTGTTTAGAGTGACTTGACAAGCTTATCAAGCATAGTAGGATTACTTTAAAAAGTTTTGTGGAATTTGGAGTATGCTGAGAGATGTTGGGGTTTCCAGAAGATGGTGAAGAGACCAAAGCAGCATAGCTCTTTGTAAAGTGTCTATTAGAAAAAAAATAACAGTAGGGTCAAAACCTGAATCTTCTGCAAGATATAGGCTAACAGAAGCAGCCTAAAAAAGAGTTAGCAGTAATATTGTGCATCCCATTTTCAAGTGCAAAGTTATAGGCTAACGGAAGCAGCCTAAAAAAAGAGTTAGCAGTAATATTGTGCATCCCATTTTCAAGTGCAAAGTTATAGGCTAACAGAAGCAGCCTAAAAAAAGAGTTAGCAGTAATATTGTGCATCCCATTTTCAAGTGCAAAAGTTAATAATGCTTCAATTTATCTCTTAGTAGAGAATACCACTTCAATGAAACTTATTTGGTCAGGCTTTTTCCTATAATGCAAGACAGTATTCATGGTGTTAAAGCTTTATGGAGAATCACTCTGTGTTAGCAGGAGTGTAATACTCTAAACTGAGGAGTTTACTCTACAGTGCAAGAATAAAAGGAACTTATCATATTCTTGTGTGGATGTATCAATCTGAATGCCATCTTTATTAAGCATTCTTTGTCTGCTTTATCAATCAGCAAAATGCCATGATTCATGACTTACTGTCTTGCCAAAGATAATCACATTAAACTTTTACGATTTATAAATTTGTGGATAACAACTATTAAGTATTATTAGCATTAAATTTACTAATCTTTCAACATTCTCTGACAACCAATTAACATTACAATATAGCTTGCAAAATCACATAATAAAACTTTATACTTTATAAATATGCACTGAAAATCATTTATCATTAACATTGTGTTCAAAATTACATGAAATTTCATTCTCTAGTACTGTAGATGTTGATCACTACACTCTAACACAATGTCTAAAATCATATTAAACTCTGATCTATAACTCTAAAAATGTTAACCACTTAATGTTAAAGCAGTGTTCAAACTTACATGGAACTTCTGTGATAGACCTAATGGGTGAAAAATATAAAATTAAAGAAAAACACTGAAAACTGATTGAGTTTTATTAATTCCTTTATTTAATGGCCTCTTCCAGAAAGTCTTAGAAAAATAAAAGAGTCCATTTGGCACAGCAAAATGTATCAAACTGGATGTTTTAGATAGTAATCTGATACAATTTTAGTTCACAGTATGGTAAAAACACAATTTTCAACCTAGTGTCAATAAATATTTGATGCATGTAGATATTTTCTATATTAGAAAAAACAAATCTAAGTAACTTGAAACAAAAATTGCTAAAGTTAGTTGCTTTTAAAATCAGTTGAAATTTTATATGTGCATTAATAAAAACCCTGAAGTGTGAAGAATTAAGAAAAGTTTTCCCTAAAAACCACAACAGATACATTATGGAACAATAATACCATACAGGTGAAAGTGAAAAGAATGCAGAGATTCTATTTTTACTGAATTTAGATGGTAAGCCCATGATGGAACCTAAAACAGTTAGACTTCAAACATTTTATATACAAAATAAAAATATAATTACTCACTCCAGTTTCATTCCAAAGATGAATCAAGTTGTAAAGATTAAATAACTTTGATAAAGATTAGAAAATTCTGATCTTGTAATTTGAAAACTATATGATGCAATTATTGTCATTATATGATACTTGCATTATGTATGCCAAAACTTGAATCATGATCATCCAAGAAATGCTAGCTTACTTCTTTATCATAAAAAGCTTTGAACAGTTCATTTTAATTCAAAAACTTTAAATCCAATATTTTTAATTCCAAGCTTTCACACGGGAATGTTGCAATTTCTCTGTACTCACAAAATGGATACTTTAAACATCAGGCTTGACTTTCATTATGCAATGAGTCTTCAAGTAAATTTGCTGTCCCCTCATCTCCACTCCCACTTCCCGCAGCAGATACAGATCCTCGTTTTGTCCCAGAGAAGCGAGAGGACTGTTGGATTGATGCCCCTCCTCGTCTAGAAGAAAAACATAACAAATCTATCCTTAATAAACTGTATAAAAACCATTATACACAAAAGTGAGGTGTTTTTTTTATTATAAATATCTTGATATTTTACAGCTTCAAATACAGAGAAGATTAGTCTAAAGAAAAACACTTAAGATTTTTCCATTTACTATTTAAGAAGAATGCGAGTAACCTTTTTTGTGCTCAATACAATGTAGAGTGGCTGAAAAAAGGTTTGAAAGCTCCTCTTAATTTCCATTTGTTTTTAATATGATCGAGCTTTGCACTTCTTAACATTATCCTTTTTGAATTTTAGGATCTAAAAAAAATATTTAGTTCTCAAAGAATAAGAAAAATTAATTGAAGAAAAAAAGAAGCAGTTTCTAAAATGATGCCTAAACTAAGACAATGACCTTTCCATTTATTGCAAGTTAATAAATAGTAATATTGAAGACAGTTACTTTACTTATGTAATATTTTCAGAACAGGAAAAAAGCAACAAAATTACAGACAAAAGTTAACAATGAAATGTTAAAATTCTTAAGCAGCTGTGTTTATTGCATTTGACATGGAAAAAATTGTTAACAGGAAGAGTACCCAAATAACTCAATAATGCATTCTAAAAATGCAAGAAAAGTACATTTAATTAGCTATACACATTACCAGGTTGTTTTTTAGTCTTGCTCTAATAGAAGATAATGTTAATATAACTGATAATAGATGTTAAGTTGTAAATCCTCGTAAACCTTATTAAATGCACTAATGTAATGAAGTTTCTGATTTGCTTAAATAAATAGTAATGATGAGCATGGCAGTTTGGATGAAAGATAATTCTATGCAACAGCAAGTGATTCTATTCTCACTTTGTCAGCTGCATTTAAGTTAAACCTAAATTACATAAACTATGAAATAATAATTGTATTTATTTTGAATTATTCAATCACACCATGTTGCTCAAAGGTAGAATAAGTTTAACTAACAGATCACATTCCAAGACAATTATTAGAAAATACCTCATTAAAAAAAAATATGTTAATAACCAATCTATGTCCATTTCAAAAGATTAAATGTTAACCTCCATGCTTTAAATCTCCTTACTGTTTGAAGTGTGGGATAATATGCTGCTTTGTGGCTGTCACTTGATCAATGTGGATTATTCATTAATAAGTTATAATTATACAGTTCACAAGTAAATGACATAAAATCTTTAGAGCATTTACAAATTGATGCTGTAAAGATTTTAAGGAATGCAATATTTCTAATAAAAAGAAAACATCATTAAACAAGTGGAAACCAGCATAAGAAAAGGATAAAAACTCTTCTCATATATATTGACTTGGAGACAAGGATTCAACAACACTATATATTTTTCCTGTTTGTTAAATATATATATATGTTTTGTACATCAAATTATAAACTAGGTTCATGCTGATGATTTATAAGAATTATCTTCTTTATTTGATCCATTCACCATTCACGCATTCAAAACTATATTATTATTATTACTGCTGAAAGGAAGATACATTTCTAAATATCATAGCAGTAGGTGAATAATTGTTGTTCAAAGTAGGTTTAAGTTGATGAATAGGGATAATGGTCAGTCGTTGTGCTACAAGTGTTATTTGTTTTTCATTTAACAACTAAACATTGTCTGGGAAAGAGGGCATCAAGTGTTATTTCCTACCTCATTTTGTTTTTTAAGTTAGCCAGTTCACGAGACATGGTTTCATTAGATTCCATCATGTCTTCGAGCTCCCGTTGTACCTTTCGCCGTTGAGTCTTCTCACGAGAACACTCTTCTTCTGCCTCATCCACCTGCCGCTTCAAAGCCTGTACCCGACTATTAACTTTGTCTACCTGAAAAATAAAACAAGACAAATTTTAGATTTTATGGACTAGCATAATCTTGCAGTATATCAAAAAGTATGTAAATATATGGACATAAGTATAGGATTAAAACTTATAAAATTAACTTTATTACAATTGAAACTTTCCAAAATTCTTTGAAACTAATAATAGAAAAATAAGGTTTACTCCAATTGAAATCAATGAAAAAAATAATCCATTAGTCATTATCAAATGCAGTTAAAGTAAGCGAAACCAACAGTCCTGTATTAATGATAAAATTATGCAAAAAGTTTTTGAATATTTCATCTCAAAGTTTAAATTATATTAATAAAGTCTGCATATAACTATATATGGTGATATTTGCTAGAAAAATCAACAGTAGTATAAGCACACAATTTTAACTTTGCCTTATAATTAATGAGTTTTATCTTAAAACTTTTAGGAATGTATACAAAACCTTACTTGTTCTTTGTACTGGTCAGCATGGCGTCTCTCATCTTCTAACTGTAACAATGTTTCTTTTACTTTCTTTTCTAGCTTGCGTGCATTTTTAGTTGCTACTTGTTTTTCCCTGAGAATAAATGAACAAATATTATTTTCATTACATCCTACAGTATTAACAGCATGAAAGATTATAACTAAACTTATTTTATTGAAATCAAAATGTAAGGTGTTTAGTATTGAACAAAGTAATAAATTATTTATGAGGACAAAGTGCATGACATGATCATCTTGGTAGAAAAACATAGTTTATAATTCAAAGTTTTATATTAACTAAGTTTTCATTTATTAATTTCAAAAGGAAATTTTAAAATCAATTTTGAATTCTGTGTGTCACATTGTGCATCTTCCTTTTAATTTTTTTTTTAATATTATTTTCAGTCTTCTCTATTCCCTCCTAAGGATGTCATAGAGGCCAACCAGTCAGAAGACTATAGATATTGACAGGTCATAATATAAAATCTAAACCTCCCACCCTCTTGAATTAGTGAGAAATAAATAAATCTGTGACATTCATCACTGGGGGGCTCTTCCAGTCTTGTTGGATTATCAATATCCTAACAAAAAAAAATTAGTCCTACTGTTCTTCACCTGTTGACAGCAAAAAAGTGGGAGTCTAGCCAAGTAAGAACAATTTTTTTTTTATGTACATCTTTTTATTTATTGTTATTAAAGTAACAAAAGTGTAAAAAGATTAGAAACTTATTAGGTTAGATACAAAAATTAAATGAAACACAAAATTCTTTGTGGTAGTAAATATTGTAGCATGCTATTTGAGAAGGTACGTTAGCAATTCATTTGTTTTGTTTTTCCAACTCGATCATAGTCTATACATACAGCTGTTATAAATGGCTTTCAGCATACTCTGAGAAGGTCTTACCGCAGTTGTAAAGTAATAAAATTAAACTAGCTCAAATTTGAAAAGCCTAAAAGCTTTGGTTGTAAGAACAAAAAGTGTGTACATACACAATATGCAGTCATTCTAGAAAGAAAAAAATATATATATATATTTTTGATTTTTCAACTTTTCATTTTACCCCACGTTGTTGAATTCAGTACAGTTAGTGTTACAGTAAAGAAAATAACATAACATATAAAGGTTTACTGAAAAAAAATTTTTATATTTATTTAGAAGGTTCTAGAAATTATGCAAGTGAAATATGAAACCTGTAAGATGAAAAAAGTACCTTTATTCTTAACATGAGAATCAGATTTGTCGGAGTCTGAGTTAGATTGACTCAACAAATTCAGAGACAAATCTTTAATAAAAATTCAGATTTTTTTGTGTAGAACATACTTGTAATGTTTAACAAAAGCCTACCAAATTTCGTTAAGACACATTTAGTAAATTTGGAATTATATAAATATTGCTATGTATAGTTTCATAGAAATTTAACGATTCATAGCAATAACACTGTTCACAAAGGCTTAATACTGTTTTCAATCATTCCAATAACTGATTTATCAAAATTAAAACTGTCATGAAAATAATCAACTAATGAAAATTAGGGTTTCTGATTACTGTTTTTCATTATTCCAACAACTGATTAATCAAAAATACAATTAAATCAACTGTCACAAAAATAATGAAGTAATTGAAATTAGGGTTTCTGATTATTCAAAGTATCCAAATAATCGAAATATTGCTATTATGTTTCTTATTGTTAAGTATAAAGCTACATAACTGGCTATCTGTGCTTTGCTCAGATTTTAGCCTTATAACTAACTTGTTTTCTTCTTTTAACTTCAAGTTTGTTCAGCTTCGGTGATTTTGTTTTTTGAGGGGAGGGGGGGTCGTGAGTAAAGGACATAGGCTCAATTCCCACTGCCACAAAACTTGCTTATCCTATCTTTGTTATGACAAAAATTACTAAGACTATCTGCCACTGTCACTAATTTTGAACTTACTAGAGGGAAGACAACTGGCTGGCAACACCTGCTGTCAACATTTTTTTTCTTGCTTGTTTTACGAAGCACTGTACTAATTGATTTATAAAATGTAATTGATTAATGAGGCCACCAGTTGCCCAGACCTAAAAGTTGTTAATGGTGTGGTTCAATTACATTAATTTTATTTGGATTCAACTACTCCTATAGTTGTTTAAAATTACTTGAATACAACCGTTCTTCTGTTTGGAATTTACCTGTATTCCACTCTACTTCTAAGTGCTTTAGGTTTACTTGGATTCAAATTGCCTCTTGTCTTCAGGTTTTTTCTAGATCTGGTTATCCCTCTGTTTTTAGTTTACCTGAAACTGACTCTTCCTGTGTTTTATTTTTACATAAATTCAACTATTCCTTTAAGTCTTAAAGCTGATTAAAACCAAGAAAATTTAAATGTTCCTTTACTTAATTTTAGTTTATCTAGATTTTACAGTTACTATAAATGTTAACCTTATTTAAACTAGCTGGTCCTCAACATTCTCAATTTTCTTAAGTTTAAGGGTCAGCTTTATTCTACTGTTATTCTAACTGCTTAATTAAAGAATACCTCGATTTAACTTTTTTTCTTACTACTTGTATTATATATGTATGTAACTGTTCTTGTATCTACTAAAACATAACTATGCCTGTTAACTAACAAGTTCTTTTTCTAAAAGTTGCTTAAGTCTATGTTTTCATGGATATAAAATCTAATATTTGTACTTACTTAACTGATGACTAATGTTAAAATTTTGATGGCATCCATTTAACCATATAAACACAAAGATGTTCTTTTTCCAACACTAAAATATTAGTTAATGCAAAAACTTAAAATTTATTTTATTTCTGTTTGTTTTATCCTTATTTACCTGGACTCTACTTCAACTTGCTCCTCTAGTTGGCTAAGTTTGGATTCTAATGCAGAGATGGTTGATTTAGCCTTAGAACGATAAGATGTTTCCAGTTCTTCTAACTTTGCACGTAATTCTTTATTCTGAAAATGTATACAAAAATCTAAATTGTAGCTTGTTTAATTTGAGCTCTGACATACTGAGATTTAAAGTATAATTATTTTCCCTCTTTTAAGTATATGATAATTACAATGCAATATACATGCTTCTTACAATGCTTATAAATTTCTAGAAGCTTTAAAAAGCTTCTTTATTTAATTGGTTTTCTTTTTTATTTCCTAAGGAAAATCATACGAGATAAAAAACAAATATCTTGATAATAAGAAACATATCATTATAAAAAATTTGTTAATGAGTACAAACTTATTATCTTATAGAACCCCTTGTTTATTAGTTTTTAGAGCAAACTTTGGCAAATTCTATCCTTTAGAAGGAGTTACATTTATTTATTGACTGGTGTTATATCAATTCTTTTATTACTTCATTACATCACTTTATGGGAAAAAAAACTTAAATCATACCTATCCAAGGCTCTGAAGATGTTATTTTAACCATTATTTAACATCCCTAAAATCAATTTATAATTTGTAACTTAAAATGTTTAGGATGTATGGATATGCATTTTTAAATACATTCTAAACATTTTTGAATCCAATTTAACAATATATTATCATTTAGAGTTTATGCTAGTCTAAAACATTTTTTAAATGAAAAAGTTATGTTTGTTTTTCAATATATAAGTTGGATAGAGAGTAGTTGAATACTTTAAAATTTAGCTAAAACCATTTATAGATACCTGTCTCTCCAAGATCATCCGGCTATTCTCCAGGTTCTGAGTTGCAGATCGTTCACTTGCCAGGTCTGTTGTTAACTGTTCAATCTGTGGAAAAAACATTTACCATTTAACATGTGGTTGCTAACGTGCAAGTCAACTGTTCCTAAACATAAAACAAACTGCATCCAGTATCTATATCAACTAGTGAGGTGGTAGTCCTTTGTTTTTTTGGTTACTTGTTATTATTATGTTTATATATTTACATACCTTTTCCTCTATCTTTTAATTTGTTTGTGTATAATGCTGGTTCATATCCTGTTAGAATTAGTAGAACAATATTACTCTCACAGTAAAACAAAATTACTGACTGACACTAGGTGGTGCTGAGAGTTTTTGTTGCAACAGCTACAACACATGGCATTATGGCACTATATTAAAATAAATTGATCAGATGTTTTTTCAACAGCTAATTATCATCCCACATTGAATCATAATCTCACCATCTGGTAGAAAATAAAAGTATAAAAGAAAACAGAATTGAAGACTGATATGCCAGATGTGTTGTAAGTTATAATTAATCAGAGTTTGTAAGTATCATATTATCAAACAAATTAAGTAAATTAAGCAGAAAGAAAAACCTAACTATTTCAGCTAAGTATATGTATTATTGAATCAGAAGTTCTATGAAGTTTAGATGTGTATTTTGTAAAAGTCTGGGATTGGTATTTTTGAATTTAGGGTCTATTTTGTTTAACTTGTGAGGTTCAAATAAATACTCAGTTCTGTTTTTTAAAAATCTGGTATTATCATTTTGATTATTCTTAATGTTCAAAAGAAAAAGGATTTCCTACAATCTATACCCTGAAAACTTACTTCTTAATAGCATATCTTATATTAAATTTCAGACTATCACTATTATGTTTCATTTTTTTAAATGTTAGAGTTTTCATAGGTTTTAAGCTTTCAGAACAAATTTTTTTTGACAAATTAAAATACTGGTTGTATCACCCAAGTTTCAAAGAATAAAATTTCTTTCCTTTTCTATCATATGATTGACAAGGACTAATATGTTATCTCAACATAGGCCTCAACTCTTTGCTATAGAGCAGGATGCATTACACCCAGTACGTAACCACCACAGTAGTCATACTATAACATTTGAAAATGTATGTGTATCTTCATGAACTTTTGCAGATTATCAGTAAACATTACAAGGCTTTAGCATACAAAATATAAGGTTTTTTAATTATGTATCAAGATTTTTCAATCAAAGATTTGTTTGTGAAAAATCTCTATAACCTCCTAAATAACTATCAAACGTTTTTCATAGAAAAACTTTATATTTTATTTATTATTTCTGTACCTTAACACTATACCAGATGATTGGTTGATTTGATTAACCTTGTAATAACCAATAAAAGTAAGGAAATAAATCTAAATTACTCTTTTTTTTTATAGAATGACTGCATATTGTAACAGAAAACTACAAATGTTTATTCTAAATAGCTTAAATCTAGTAACAGTATACATCTATTTATATTTATTTGTTTTATTGACCTTTGAACCATGTGTCACTAATAATCCCATCACACAAGTTATACATAATGTGGTGCACATGTAGCACACAATACCATATCAAATAGCACAAAACTGGCCTTTACAAACTGCAATTTTAATAGCTCACTCCAAAGCTACAACATCCCCTCAGATAGACCCATTCAGAGATGGAGCATCAGATTGGATAAACCTACAAGTGATCTTGTGGAACACCCTATCTCAACAGTGTGCATTTAGTGACCATAGAAGTTATAATTGTGAAGTCATCATGGCCTCACAGTGTAGATTTCACTAGTTTAAGTATACCTGGACAGGAACCACTTCCCACAGATCCTTAAAGAAAAAAGAGACATGCCCCTGAAAAAGAAGAGGTACATATACAAAAAGGTAACTTACCCAGTCACAGTATTACCAAAAAGTGAAGGATGGCAACAAGTGGAAGACAGTAACTCAATGAGGAAGAAACAGCTACCTTAAAGACACAAACAGAGGAGTGGTGCCAGGGGATGAAACTGTGGGAAAGGGAACCAACAGCACATACACATACAGGACATAGAAGTCCATCCAGATCTGACCAGGAATAAAAGTGAGAGATGGTAAGAAACGAAAATTACAAAAAGGAAGAACATGCCACATGACTCACCAAAGTGTAGGTTAGGAAAAATCGATCCAGAACAAAGAGAACAGATTGAGCTGAAGCAGCCAAGAAAACCAGATCTGTGCCAGCCAGGAAGGAACAATCAGAAAGACCTGACACGGAGCGGCATGGATGAACAAAATCACCCAGGGAAGATGATGGATGGAATGATAAAATAAAGGTATAAATTGGTTCCAATCCTGTCATGCATGGACAGTTAGGGCGAGTGGATGAAGAACTGGAGACCAAAAAACAAACAAACAAAAACTTGGAAATGAAAAAAGAGGCAAACACATCCCGCTGATGAGTACCCCACTGAAGTACGAGGATCGAGAAACAACTGAGTGGTATTACGTGTGTCAGAACTGGAAAGGCGATTCACAATGATGTTGAAAGCACCTAGAATATGACACACTAGAAGACCTATGTCAAGTGTGTGGGCCCCAAAATAGGGAGATCCAAGGCTGACCATGAAGGGAATTAGAATGGGTTCCCCCATGGTGAGTGATATAGGACACCACTGTTGAATTATAAGAATGGATTATGACTAGTTGAATCTTGACAAGAGGAAGAAAGTGAACCAAAGTGTGTTGAACTGCCAAACGTTCCAGGGCATGAGCATGGTAAGACCTTTTTGGCCATATACCATTGTCCTGAAGCCTCATGCTGATTGACCCACATCCCCCAACATTGAAGGTAAGCATCAGGGGAAAAGAAACAAATCTGGACAAGGGGGATGAAGCTGTCCTGATAACGTGGGGGCCTTGTTCAACCACCAACACATATCTTTGAAGAGGGAAAGAGGAAAGGTTCGAGGGAAATCCAAAGGAACCCTATCAAGATTCCACGAGTCGTGTAATGTATCCTGAAGAGATTGTATATGTGCCAGAACCAAAGGGATAAGTGCTTCTATAGAAGCAACATCCCCCAATACAATAGAACCTCGCTAGCAGTCAGAGTCAGATATTAAAAAAGACAAGAAAATTAGGTAGGTAATGGGAAAGACTTCTCCAACTGCAAAATCCAACCACCCGAGTTGCATTGGTAAGAATCAAATTAATATGTTGTGACAACTCTAGTATGGTATGAGCTAACAGAAGCCAGACGACCAAATTGTGGTGTAAATCCAATCTGGTACACAACTCCATGGTGAACAAACCTAAAATAGCATCACAAGGGATGAAAAATAGGCAAGTGGGTACAAGAATATGAAACATCTATCTTGGACATCCTTAGTCCTGGAGAAATGTCCCAGTTCGGTAGAATCGAATAGAGGGAGTCACATGCGTTAGAAAGTGTGTGTTGCACTTCTATTGGTGTAGGGTTTTTGCATGATAATTTACATAGGGATGCAGTTGAACCACGTTGATTGTGGGGTATGTGGAAGCTCAAGGCTTGTGGCATGTAAAACAATTTTTGCATATAGACGACAGCACTGAACAAGAATAGCTAAACTGTGAGAGGAGGTAAGTTACTGTATCGTAATTTACCAGGCTTTCTAACTAAGATGTATTTGTGTCTAAAAAATATAATTTCCTAACAGTGTATCACTTTGACTGCCACTCTTCAAATTCTGCAATGGTAATAACAGCTTTACCCACATCAATACTTTAGGAAGACCAACAAAATTGCATAGCTCAAAATGAATGCTTTTGATTGGTTGTAAATGTGTAACTAAGAAAAATAGGTGTAGGTAAACAAGTATTTTCAAAAAAGGAAGAGATGGATAGAGCCACTATGGTGGGTTCTCTAAATGTAATGATATAATGTTAAAGGTAGGAGGTTCTTATTTTATATCCTAGCTTGTCAATATTGGTAATTTGAGTTTTTAATTCGTTAGAAACCGTAGACTTGATATTTTATGACATCCACAGTATAATCTGAGGAAATGCAGAAGTTTATATACCATGTGACACACACACAAATCGATATTTAGCAATTTTTTTTTAATATTTTGATTTTCAACAAAGAAATTAAATAATGTATAATACTAAAATTTGAATTACAAACAACAATTTAATTCTAAATTTTTGGACATACATTCATAAAATAATAGATTTATATAATTTTGAACAAAACATGATAACATGCTCTCTGACCTTGACCATATGGAAGGAGAGTTAAAGGCTTTTAATATTTTTAATAAGCCATATAGTTTAACAATAAAAGGCCTTTTCTTACTTGTGCCTGAGCTTTTCTTGTCTTATCCGTCATTATTTCTGAATTGTTTTGTTCTTCTTCTAGCTCTTCTTCTAACTGCTGGATTCTGGCTTCCAAGCGTCGTTTTTCATCCTGGAGAAGTGATCTGTACGATTGGAAATTAAAAAGAAAAAGAAAAAAGTTATTTGATGGTAAGTTCAACAATACAAAAACTGTATTATAGATATTTGTAAATACCTCTTTTACATATAACAGTTGCAGAACAGTCTCACATACACAAAGTAAAGTAAAACATAATACAACCACCCCAAGAAACAGTGTGTAGTTTCCATAACTAAATCCTGCTCTTATAAATAAGTAACATCTATGAATTTTGGCACAAACTGGATCAAATGTAGTAGGTTTCGAATTACAGCTCTTGAAAAATTTAAAGCTTTTTAAATTTGAAAAATGCACTAAGAAAGAAAGAGATACGTTATTTGTATACCATAATTCTAAACGACAGGAAGTAATATAATTGTTGGTAAAACAACAGAGTGAATGTCGATAGGTATTCAAATAATGATAGGATAAGATGTGATTAAAGTTTGAGAATATATGCTAATATGCTACAAAATCTTTTAATGTATATGATTAGAGGGTGAAAAGCTTTTTAATACTTTACTATTCTGATCAGGTTCAATTAACTGAAAGTTCTCTATATGCCATGCAATGCAGAATTATTACCCCTTTGATGCATTACTGTTTACTTCTTCTTGCAATTCATTTCTATCAGTCTCTGCCAAACGACGGGCTCGTTCAGAGTTAGAAAAATCTTCCTTAAGTTGAATCATTTCTGCTTCCATTACTTTTAACTTTTTTTCTGTATCCTTTGATTGTGCAATAAGTTCCTCTCGAGAGCTTCTTGCCTCTTCATATTCTTTTTGATAATCTTTCACTTGAGCCTGAAAAGAGAGAAATAAATCTGAGGAAAACTACATACAAACTTAATGAATTGAAAATTCAGCAAATACACAGGAGTAAAACATATTTGTGTAATTACTAAAATAATCAAATAAACGTATAATACACATTATTATACAAGTACAGAAAAAATGCACCACACTTTGCTTCAGCAGGCAAAAATACATACCTGGAGTTTCTTGAGTTGTCGAAGTGCATCTTCTTTTGCTTTTGTTGCCATTTCTAGCTGTTGTTCTAAATCTGTAAAATCTCCTTCAATCTTCTTCCTGGCACATACTGCAGCTGTTCGTTGCTTTCTTTCATCTTCCAATTCTGTCTCCAGGTCACGGACCTTAAAAGAAACGTTGTTTATAATTTATTTTTACCTAAACAACTAATCCATTTTTTATCCTCAAACTGACGATCCACACACATTCCTCCTCTGCAGAGTATAAATATCAATTTCAGTAAATTTCTTTGTCCTTTATTGTCATTTTAAACAAAATGTTCTCAGTTTCTTTGCAGTAGCAATATTAAAACATTCAACCTCCTAACTAAAGTGTTAGTTCAATACATCTTTGACTCCAGAGTGAAATCACTTACATATCTCTCACTTCTAGAAAGTGACAATCCCAATATATTTCTTTGTATTTGGACAGTACCAATATAGTGTTTGTTTCAGCATCTTAGTATCTAAGCAACATTGAAATTTCTATAGAAAAGATTTCCTCTTTTATAATGAGATCTTATGATAAATAAATAAATATATATACATACATATTAGTATACCTAACTTTAAATGGTTAAAAGATTAAAAATACTTTCTCATTTTCATCACCTGTTTAACAAGTGCTCGTTTCTTTTCTTCTGCTTGTTCTTCCTTTGTCTGAAGTTCTCGTTCAAACTGAGACTTTAGTGCTTGCATGTTGACTTCTAGCCGCAACTTGGCATCCTCTGTCAATTGTAATTCATCTTCTAGTTCTTCAATTTGTGTCTTCTGTTCATCTAACTGACATTCTAAAGTTTTCTTGGCCCGTTCAAGTTCATGCACCTAAAAAATATAAGGTTTTAGCATTCATGCAGTTTTTATATGTCCAGAAAATGTAACATAAAATTAATTCATAAGCATCTTAAACTTGTAAAATTGTAGCAAAGTAATAGTGGTAACTAATAAGGTTTATGGATTTTTGGTCTTAATAATTAAGCTTATAGTTCCCATTAAAGGTTATTCACATTTACATAAAGTAACAATTTCTGCCTAGTAACTGTATCTTACAAAAGCCACAATCTTTAGCTAAAAGTTCAATTCAGAGAGTAAACAAAATTAAGCATTTAAAAAGTAAATTTTGTACTTGGTTTTATTATATATAATACCTCAAAGAACATTTTGCATGTCAACGTTTTAGTAATAAATCTCAAGAATGAAACTAATGTAAATTTGAAATAGCCTTTGTTTTTATTTGACATCTATTGTATTATCACAAATTATTCATGCAAAGGTAACAAAAATTAAACCACATATAATATCATGATATTTTTTTTTCTGCAAATTCTTATGCAGTTTGCCATTGGACTTAAACATCTAAATTATTGTAAAAAATGTCAAGTTTGTTTTTATTATTTTAATTAAACCAAGGAAAAAGTGTCTTTCTTTCTTCAAGACACTGTCCAAGATTAACATTAAATACACTAATTCTCAAGCACTTTGGTTCCTTAAATCTAAATACTTCTTACAATTTCAAAGGCAGATTTCAAATTTGTTAAAACAATGATTAAAAGTGCTTTCCACATGGCAACTTATTTTTATATTTTATGTTAACTTATATTTTCTAACATTTTGAAAATATAAAAATATACACAAATTTGTTAAAATAATTATTGAATTAGTGTGCAAGCATTTTTTAAAAATCTAACCACAAAAAATTTCTAAACAAAGTTTCTCAAAAACCATTACATTTTTGTCTGCTGTTCCTTGAGTGTTGACCAGCTCATCCAGTTCTGACTGAAGGGCACGACGAACTCGTTCTAATTCCTCCAGTTGATCATTTTTATCATCCAAATCCCTAGTTAGAGACAAAATCTTAGTTTCCTTTTCTCTCACTTCTCGTTCAGCATTATCTTTCTCCTGATTAATTCTTTCTGATGTAGTCTTCTCCTCAGCAAGCATTTGATCAAACTTGCGTTGTTTCTTCTCCAGTTCGACAACCTTCCCCCTGTAGCCCTCTAATTCAACATTCAAGTCTTCTAACTATAACAGTTAGATGAAAAAACAAACAAAAAAAAACAGAATAAAGTATCATTACTTTGTATTTCTTAAGCTAACAAATTGTTTTAGCTTTTTGATAAGTCGATTTCATATTAAACTTTTTTAATTACATTCAATTATTCCCTTACAGTGAAACATTTATTATTAATTAGATACTGTAACAAGCTACTGTAACTTAATTCTAGCAGAAGTTTTATTCTGTCATAGTCAGAAAAAAAATTTTCTTAGATGAAAAAAAGAGAGAAAGAGAAAATAGCTGAAAGAAAAGTTTTTTGTTTTTTTTTACATTGTTATTCAATTTATTCCTTTCAAAATATTAAGATATTTTCTCAAACACTTCATTTAATTTTAAAATAAAAATTTACATAATTACATAACCTTCAGAAAGTAATGTGCCTTAAAGTAGTGAATGTGTTCTTAGGTTTAAAAGTGCTGGAAAATAATTTCAGAAAATATTTCTCTACATTTCTGTCTTAGTAGCTGAAAAGTTGCTTTTATTCAACTCTTTCAATATGGGGTCGTTCAATATGACGACCTCGTAACCATTTTGGGCTTGTTCTAGTTTTCATGCAATAACTTTTAAAATAGTAAGCAACTGTTAACAAAATTTGGCAGATTATAAGTAAACATTACAATGCTTTCATACGCAAAATATAAAATTTTTTATTAAGCTGTAAGGTTTATGAGAGAAACATTGCTTTACGCCTTTTTTTTTCTATTCACATCTTGCCTATCTATCATGCAAAGTAATTTTCATTTTATGATTAAAAATACTTTTATGCATCAGAAAATTTTGAAATTTCACATGTGAAATCTTTATAATGTCCGGATAGTTATCTAATGTTTCTTAAGAAAAACTTTATATTTTATCTGTTATTTTCAGTAATTAATCTCTATACGGGACCATAAAAACCACCATAAAAAATTAGGAAATAAATATAAGTTATGCCTCTTTCATTCTAGAATGAACACAAATTATAACATAAAAACATAAATGTATAGACGAAATAGCTTAAATCTCATAACATTATACATTAAAATATAAATTTATTATTTTTATTATATTGACCTTTCACCTGTACCCGGCTAACAATACAGAAGTTACAATGATGCGTCTCAAGTGCACTCATGTTACCGTATCAAATAACAGAACATGACCTTTGGTCTGTACAAAGTAACTTGTCTTGGCTGTGTTTTATTCGAGTAGTATTTTGTAAAATACAGTCACATTTCAATTATTATACATTATATATGTATATAGATCATTGCTATTTTGAAATAAGTTCTTAAACATATTTTTCCTAAAACATAGAACAGTAAATAAAGTATAGCAGTAAATAAGTAAATCTCTTCTAGTTACGTCCTTTGTACTCGGTTGCTAAGCCTTTAAAGATCTTGCATGTGGAGGATATGCAACAAAATACTTTTTTTAGGTTTTTTATATATATACACCTGGAAAAAAGTTAAGCACCCCCAAATATTTTTCAGGATTGCTTATTGAAAATAAGGTTTAATTTTCATGATGTTGATCAATGTTCATAATTTCAAACATAATTAAAAGGATGTGAGCATTCAGGTGTGACACTTAAA